CTAGAATTCTAATCTCTTAGAATCTCTTACTTAGAATCTCTTACTTAGAATCTCTTACTTAGAATCTCTTACTTAAAATCTCCTACTTAGAATCTCTTACTTAGAATCACTTCGAATATCTTACTTAGAATCTCTTACTTAGAATCTCTTACTTAGAATCTCTTACTTAGAATCTCTTACTTAGAATCTCTTACTTAGAATCTCTTACTAAGAATCTCTTACTTAGAATCTCTTACTTAGAATCTCTTACTTAGAATCTCTTACTTAGAATCTCTTACTTAGAATCTCTTACTTAGAATCTCTTAGAATCTCTTACTTAGAATCTCTTACTTAGAATCTCTTAGAATCTCTTACTTAGAATCTCTTACTTAGAATCTCTTACTTAGAATCTCTTACTTAGAATCTCTTACTTAGAATCTCTTACTTAGAATCTCTTACTTAGAATCTCTTACTTAGAATATCTTACTTAGAATCTCTTACTTAGAATCTCTTACTTAGAATCTCTTACTTAGAATCTCTTACTTAGAATCTCTTACTTAGAATCTCTTACTTAGAATCTCTTACTTAGAATCTCTTACTTAGAATCTCTCTCTTACTTAGAATCTCTCTCTTACTTAGAATCTCTTACTTAGAATCTCTCTCTTACTTAGAATCTCTTTCTTACTAGTTAATCATTCCTCATTATCATAATGCAAGTGCTAACACAACAACAAAATATCGAATTATCAACTCATTGACCATATTCACCTGATTTGTCCTACAATAACTTTTTCTTATTAAGACACATCAAAAATAAAATGCGTGGTGCGTGGACAGGTTTTTGAACCATTTAAATCAATTGTTTTGAAGATCCCTTGTTCGAAGTGGGAAAAGCATTTAGAAGATTGATTTCATCGGATAACAAAGTATATAAATTTTAAAACGGGAATATTTAGAGAAGCTTTAAGGTGATTTACATAACGTAATTTGTTTTTTGTTTTACATTATCCTCTTTAGCAGTGTTTCCCGTAAAGTAAAAATAAATATTGAGTACTGAAGGAATTTCTTAAAATGAGCTAGCGTATTATAGAAGTTATTTAATTAATTCATTATTACATCACATACTTGTGTTAAAAGTAATTATGAAAAGTTAAAAAAACAACACTTATTTACATATATATTATATTTTACAAGATCTGCGTGTCTTATTTGGCCTCTGAAAAATTTACTTCACTTTTTCTAAAGAAATTCAACAATTGCCTGAAAAAAAATATGATTTTATGTATAGTAGCGGAGATATCACCCATCATAATTACCTCACCAAAAATCATAACAGATATATCGTATATCATTGGCTATTTTTTATATCATTTGATATATTCTATATCATAATTTTTTATAAAGCAATTTTAATACATTTTTGTTAATAATATATCAACCATTGTTACATCCTTAATTTTGCAACTATTTAAGCTTCTTCTTTCTGCAATTTTGACCCTAATTCGACTTTGTTCGCAATCTCAATTTTGCAATTATAATACACAATAGAGTAATTTACCTCTTAAGTAAAATATAAAGTTAATTCGACTTCACAAAATACGGTGTATCTGGATAAAACTTTCCCAGTGCACTCAATGTAGAAATTTTAAAAGTTCGAGAGTGGGTACTTTTCATTACGACTCGAGTAATTTTCTGTATTTTCTTGAAGCGAATTTTGTATTATTTCTACAGGAACTAAATTTGTTGTTCTCTGAAACCGGTCTTTTTACTTTTTAAATTGTACACAATATTTATTTTATATTGGGAAGAAAAATGTGAATTATTTTTTAATCGAAAATCATAGAAAACCATAGAAAAACATAGAAAATCATAGAAAATCATAGAAAATCATAGAAAATCATAGAAAATCATAGAAAATCATAGAAAATCATAGAAAATCATAGAAAATCATAGAAAATCATAGAAAATCATAGAAAATCATAGAAAATCATAGAAAATCATAGAAAATCATAGAAAATCATAGAAAATCATAGAAAATCATAGAAAATCATAGAAAATCATAGAAAATCATAGAAAATCATAGAAAATCATAGAAAATCATAGAAAATCATAGAAAATCATAGAAAATCATAGAAAATCATAGAAAATCATAGAAAATCGTAGAAAATCGTAGAAAATCGTAGAAAATCGTAGAAAATTATAGAATATCATAGAAAATCATAGAAAATCATAGAAAATCATAGAAAATCATAGAAAATCATAGAAAATCATAGAAAATCATAGAAAATCATAGAAAATCATAGAAAATCATAGAAAATCATAGAAAATCATAGAAAATCATAGAAAATCATAGAAAATCATAGAAAATCATAGAAAATCATAGAAAATCATAGAAAATCATAGAAAATCATAGAAAATCATAGAAAATCATAGAAAATCATAGAAAATCATAGAAAATCATAGAAAATCATAGAAAAATCTTTGAAAAATTAGAGAAAGCCATAGAAGTAGAGTAGATGACAGACAAGGAAAGACGAATGGGAGACATTTAAAAATACTAAAACATACAGACAACAGCTCTATATTTAATCATGAATGTAAAGAATATTATTATTACGTTATTATAAATTGGTTTATCACTTTCACAATTTAAATTTTAAAACGTACTCCTAGCATCTTTATCTACAAATTTTTTAGGTTATTTTTACCCCTTCTTTTAATTTCTCCCTTTTACAAGTTATTTCTACGATTTATTCAAGATTCAATTCAATTCTTTGATATTCTGCAAACATCAGACACATACAAACCATGCAATGTATGTGAAAATAATCTAAAAAATAAAAATTCTCATACAGAAAATAATCGCGCATATGCCGCAGAAGGGATCAAATCACACATGCAATAAAACTGGTTAACCCCATTCTCATCTCCCTCGTTATTTATTCAGTTATAGTCCCCATTTAATCCGATTAATACTGTTAATTCCACCATGGCATGTCCTATCAAAACAGGACTCAAAAAGTATTTAATTTAACCTTTGCTATTCAAGGACTTCCTTTATTAGCTCAGAATATAATTAATATTATCTAGGCCATTCCTGTTTTATCAACACAACGTAGTTGATGTTAACACCTCATTATGATGTCACTACATCGAACCGTCGAACTTGTTAATTAGAAATTGGATCTTTAGACGAAAAGCTGTTACATCTATCCAATGTTATTACCTTGTTACATACACTACATTATATCGTCTGTATCCTGTGAGGTATTTAGGATAAACATGTATACCAGGTGTTTCGTTGAGAGATGAACAAAGATCAAAAATAGTTTTAAAAAGTTTTAATTTAAACTTCACATGGCATGCTTATCCTGAGTAATATACTAGGACTCTTGGGGTACGTACGTACCCTAATTAAAAATTTAAATATTGATTATTTTGTCTAAAAAAATTCATAAATCATCTTTGAATACCAGTTTAAACTGTAGAATAGTCTAAGTTGAAAAAAAAATAAAGATAGGCGTCTATAAAAAATCCGGAAACGGGAAAACTTGGAAAAAAATGCGTTTTTTACAAAAATAAAATATAACTTTTTTGTTTTTCGATAAAAAGGGCTGAAATTTTAGCTGTCTTCTTTTGTTATATCACTATAAAAAGAATATTAATTGTTTTCATTGGTCTTTAAAAAAAATACGGTTTTACGAAAAATATGAATTTTGAAATAGAGTTAAAAAGTCGTTGTTTTCCTCGGGAATGTAATCAATCTTCTTTAAGTACTCTTCTATCGTAATGAGAATGAGGTGTACCTCTAAAACCATCTCCATCCCTTCTAAGTGGCTTTTGTTCATCAGCACAGATAATGTATCTAAGGATACCAACAGCATGGTCCAAGCAAATTATTTTCTTAAAAGTTGTTTTTGAATGGAATCGTGTACCAGTGCGCTGTAGGTTTTTCTTATAGTAAAATGTATTAAAGCGTGTGAAGATGTTCATGTGCTGTACTACCATCGTCTGCTATTAGATGACATCGACAAATAGAATACCGTTTAATATTTGGAGAAAAAGCAAGTAAATTAAAGTCCTTTTCATTAAATATTAAGTGATACCATTCTTTAGACAATTCTTCGTAATTTTGTGCCAGTTTTTGACAATGAAGACATTTTCTGTTATTTTTAGAGAAGCTACTCGTAGAAAATGTCTTAGTAGACTGGAAGAGTCTTTAATGTCTCAATACTATAAACATAATATAATCCATTACATCCACCACCGATATTTTTGCGCATGCGCAGTAGTACAAACGTACGTGATGTAATCGACGTTGCGACATGCCTTCATGTGAACGAAGGTTAGGTTAAGAGGGCATACGAGAAGTTCGCCTTGTTTCATCGTTTTCCTATTTTTCATCTTTTCTGACTAAATTGTTTTACAACTTCTGCATCGAATTTGATTTTTTTGCTATTATAACTAAAGAATCAGTCAGTTCCAATTTTTTTTAATTTAGTACACGTTTTCCATCTGATGCCCAAATAAATAACGTTTAAAAATGTTTAAAAATTAAATATCTGTACTATTTAAATTTAGATGGCACACTTATCATTTAGGGAATTTTCCGCGTTTTGGTACACATTTCCAAAAGTAAACAACGTCTACTCGTATTTATGTCCTATTTAGTAGGTCCTAAAGTGTATTTTAAAACTATACGCTGTATATTAGACATTTACGGCGACTGAAGGATACCCATCAAACTTACGCCAGCAAAAATAACATTAGTTGTTCTGCTGGAGATTTTTATGTACTGGAAAGCTCTACTGCCCCAATTTTGAGTTGAAAGCAGATTGGCAACATGTAAATAAGTTTTAACATTCTATTCAAATTAGAAACATCCGATTCATCATTTCATGACATTATTTCGCCAAAATATGTTGTTCCTATCAAAGAGGAAATCCCCAAGATAACTTATCGGCACTACCGATACAACCAATCAACTCTATTGTATTTTAATTCATATTTGTTTGTTGCAGGCAACCCGGATCCGGTGATAAAGTGGTGGCGTGAGGGCAAACTCATCGAATCTACCGAAAATCGTTCAGGTTTCGAAAATGTTCGATCCAATCAGCTTATCGTTCGTAACTTGCAGCGGTCCGATCAACATGCAGCTTTTACATGCCAAGCCTCCAACAACAACATCAGTCAACCGGTGTCAGCAACCACATCGATAGAGATATATTGTAAGTAGAGAATGAAGCGGTGTTGCCGTTTTAAATACACTTTTATCTTTGTTTATTTTTGTTCAACTTATTTCTAAAAATAAAGCAGAATAAAAATAAAACAAATACAAAATTGTATTCAAGTAGCCTTCATTAATGATATACAGGGTGTCTGTAAAAGGTCTTTACAAAAACATACCACATATTCCTTAGATCAAAATATGTCGATTTAAGTAAAATTACCTTAGTACAAAGTTGCTTCGTTTGGGCTCCAGAGGGCCTTGAAGTTACAATTTTTAAATCGTTTTTCCCATATAAATTTAAAACGGCGTATGCGATTTTACTAAAATTTGGTATATTGGTAGAGTTTTATGTGGCAAAAAAATGGTATTAAAATTTTGTCCGATAATAATACATAGGCGTAGAACTTGATTTTTTAAATAATTGCACCTTTAAAAATTCTACGCCAATGGAAGAAAAGGAGTTTGAGTATGAAATTTAGATTGCGCAACTCATTTACTTTAAAAAAGGTACTCTTGATAAGACTCGATTACTCTCATGGTTTTCGGTAAATTTCTGTTTTAATAATTTAGAGTGTATAGGTTTCACAAAAATATTTATTTACAACATAATCAAAATAGAGATTTTACAAAAATTGTTTAAAATGCTCACCATTTTCACGTATACAAAGATTTATACGTCGAAGAAAATTAAAATGTATCCTTTCCATAACTTCTTCATCACCTCTAAGATTGTTTATTGCATCTTGAATACGTTGCCAGAGTTGTTCCTCATTTTCTACAGGTAAACTATGGATTTCAGATGTCCCCATAAAATGTAATTCATCGGTGTTAGGTCTGGGGAACGTGGGGAACGTGGTCAGTTTACAGGTGCGTCATTACCTCTGCCTATCCATTTGTGTGGATACTGTTCATTCAAGTGGTTTCTAACGTTTAAAGAAAAATGTGGTGGAGCTCCATCTTCTAACAATTCTGGCAACGTATTTTGTAGAAAATCCAAATAATTTTCTCCAGTTAATCTTCGTGGAAGTATGACAGGACCAACAATGAAATTACCAATTATTCCAGCCCACACATTAATTTTGAATTCGTGCTGAAAATGGTTTACCTTTATTGCATGCGGATTTTCAACGGCATAAACATGTTCATTATGGGTATTAGTTATACCTCTTCTTGTAAAACCCGCTTCATCGGTAAAGAGAACCTTCTTGACAAAGTTTAGATCTCTTTCTCTTTGCATATTAACAAATGGACAAAAACCCAAACGAATTTGAGGATCATGGACTAATAATTCTTGTACTGGCTTCTTATGGTATGGATATAGCAATTGTTATCCAAGCACTTTATGAACCACATCTTTACTTACTCCTAGTTCCCTTCCAATTCGTCAGGTGCTTAATTCTGGATCTTCTTCAACACGTTCTAAAATGTCTTCCTCAACTTCAGGAATCCTTACAAAACGTTCTCTTCCATTATCAACAGTGTTGGGAGCAAAGGAACCGGTCTCCCGAAGACGTCTCTCAACAGCAACAAAAGTTGGGTGGCTAGGTACACGACGATTTGGAAACCTTTAAGAGTACACCCTGACACTCTCTCGAGCATTTCCTTCACAAAATCCTAATGTCAGTAACATATCGGTATATTCTGCATTGGTATATTGTACAGCCATATTAATAAACCACGCATTTGTTTTTTTAATTATTGAGTCAGATAGAACACTTTCAATCTTTAACAAGAGATTAGGTGTTAAAACTTGACAATATTTTTATTTAGATGAAACTATGGAAACCAACAATAAATTTTTCTGTATACGTATTGCAGGCAAATAATTAATATTCCTCAAAAAATTGTACATGGCAAGAATCGAGTATTTTTGTTAAAAGTCTCGATTAGAGGTGTTGAAGAAGATATGAAAATAGTACATTTTTATGTTTTTCATCGTATAAAATTTTGCCCGATAATAATACATAGGCGTAGAACTTGATTTTTTAAATAATTGCACCTTTAAAAATTCTACGCCAATGGCAAAAAAGAGGTTTGAGTATGAAATGTGGATTGGGTACTCATTTACTACAAAAAAGTACCCTTGATAACACTCGATTTACTCTCATGGTTTTGACAAAGTTTGTATTTTAATAATTATTGTTTATGTTCTAAAATTACTAAAATGCCAATTTCGTCAAAACCATGAGAGTAATCGAGTCTAAATTTCATACTCAAACTCCTTTTCTTTCATTGGCGTAGAATTTTTAAAGGTGCAATTATTTAAAAAATCAAGTTCTACGCCTATGTATTATTATCGGACAATATTTTAATACCATTTTTTTTGCCACATAAAACTCTACCAATATACCAAATTTCAGCAAAATCGCATATGCCGTTTTAAAGTTATATGTGAAAAAAGATTTAAAAATTGTAACTTCAAGACCCTCTGGAGCCCAAACGAAGCAACTAAGGTAATTTTACTTAAATCGACTTATTTTGGTCTAAGTAATATGTGGTATGTTTTTGTAAAGGCATTTTACAGACATCCTGTATAAAAAAAAATAAAATAAAGCAATAATATAATAAAATAAAACGCTAAAAATCGTTAACCACTTACAGTTTGCTTTAAGTTGACATATAAACAATTTTATAAAGATAATAAAAAAAATACTGGTAGTAGAAAACTAATTAGTTACTTTTACGTTTAAAAATAATTTCTTTTACTTTTTTGTATACATATTTACATCTACAAATTAATTTTTAAAACAAAAGGACTGAAACCTATCAAATTACACAGTTTTCCTGCTAAAGTTGAAGTTGCACAATCGTTGCACAATATTTAAAACGTGTAGAAGAAATTAAAGACCTAGGGGTTACGTATAATTATCATATGTCATTTGCATCTCATATAAGATATACTGTTAATAATGCCAATCGTACATTAGGTTTTATTATAAGACAAACAGCACTATTTTATAATTTGAAAACAATTGATTTATTATATAAAACATTAGTCCGGTCAAAGTTAGATTTTGCTTGCATGATTTGGGGGCAACAACCGCAAATATATCTAGATTCTGTCGAAAAAATTCAAAATAAATACCTACGTTATACATACTATAAAAAGTATCATCGATGGCCTGACTATAATTATGTAAGATCTCAAATGTTACGTGAAGAATTTAAAATCCTGTCTTTAAGTACGATACGTAAAATAGGAATGATGAACTTGTTATTCAAAGTGATAAATAATCAAATAAACTGTTGCAGACTTTTATACTACATACCGTTTCATGTCCCTCCTAAACGCACACGGAACTCCCTAATATTCAATATACAAAACTCTGCTGGTTCTCCACTTTATTCAATTCTGTGTTTGGCCAATAATATTAATACTTATAGTAAACTTAGATTGGTCTCTGTCTTTAATGCAATTTAAAAAGTTGATAATATCTTACTTCGATACCTTTGGAATTTAAATAATATAAATAACAACTACTTTAAAAACATGTAAAATTTCTTAAAATGATTTAATTCTACCATTTAAAGTGATTTATCCTCTGCAATTAAAATACTGTAATATTAGGTCACCTGTAAAAAATTACTTAAATTATACTATCCATGTAATTAGGCTAGTTAAGCCTGTTTGGATTTTTATTAAATAAATAAATAAATAAATAAATAAATAACTGTACAAAATAAAACTATCTAAGTATATTTAAAAAAAAATCGAGTTAATAATGATATTTAAAATTTTGGCGGAAGCGCAAAATATTTGATGATACCGTGGGAAATTTAAAATTATGGTGTATGTGCTTTTTATTTTAAATTGTGGTGGAGGAATATTGTTTTTTAAAACTAATAAATATTTTTATAGCTAAAACAGTCATCTTAAATAAAACATTGAAATAGAATAATAGAACTGAACCCTATCAAATTACACACGACCGAAAATTATTTTTCTAAAATGGACCGTAACGGAGAAATTAAACAAAAAGTGTAGATGTATTTTTTTTTATTTAAAATTATGGTGGAGGAACCTTGTTATTTCAAACTATTAAATATTTTTATGGTTAAACTAGTCATCTTAAAGGAAACATTAAAATGAATAATAAGCATAAAACCTATCAAATTACACACGATCGAAAATTATTTTTCTAAAATGGACCGTAACGGAGAAATTAAACAAAAGTGTAGATGCATTTTTTATTTAAAATTATGGTGGAGGAACCTTGTTATTTCAAACTATTAAATATTTTTATGGCTAAAATAGGTTACTTAAAGGAAACATTGAAATGAATAATAAGCCTAAAACCTATCAAATTACACACGACCGAAAATTATTTTTCTAAAATAGACCGTAACGGAGAAATTAAACAAAAAGTGTAGATGCATTTTTTTATTTAAAATTATGGTGGAGGAACCTTGTTATTTCAAACTATTAAATATTTTTATGGCTAAAATAGTCATCTTAAAGGAAACATTGAAATTGAACAATAGGATCGAAACCTATCAAATTACACACGATCGAAAATTATTTTTCTAAAATGGACCGTAACGGAGAAATTAAACAAAAGTGTAGATGCATTTTTTTATTTAAAATTATGGTGGAGGAACCTTGTTATTTTAAACTATTAAATATTTTTATGGCTAAAATAGTTCACTTAAACGAAACATTGAAATGAATAATAAGCCTAAAACCTATCAAATTACACACGACCGAAAATTATTTTTCTAAAATAGACCGTAACGGAGAAATTAAACAAAAAGTGTAGATGCATTTTTTTTATTTAAAATTATGGTGGAGGAACCTTGTTATTTCAAACTATTAAATATTTTTATGGCTAAAATAGTCATCTTAAAGGAAACATTGAAATTGAACAATAGGATCGAAACCTATCAAATTACACACGATCGAAAATTATTTTTCTAAAATGGACCGTAACGGAGAAATTAAAATTGGTAGTCCTCTGATACCTCAACGAAATTTTTTGCTGTGTAAATGAATTTTTCGCT